GTAAATCCATCATTCAGAGTTCATAATAGTCCAAAAGGTGATGATAATAGTTAAACATGGCGGTTTGTTCATCTTTTAGGTTGCTGAAAGAATCATTTGCTCCTTTGTTTTTTCCTGTGTCACTCTCGCGTTTGTCCACTTCTGAAAGGATGAGATGTCAGAAGCACTTCAATAATCACGCACAAGCTATTATCATCAGCTCAAGAAGTTCATTATTTCATATATAGATGCACGGCGAGCGACCAGAAGTTCTCTGGAGTGAAACCGCTCGCTCTTTGTGGCCTCGTAAACAACAAGACAACAGGTTTTATTTTCTTGGCTTTGTGGCTGTTCATCAAGACAACAAGATTTGTTTGATCTCGAGTCAACCCCGGATTGGGTATTTTATGTATATATTTATACGATGTAATGTCTTGGCTGTGTATTTAAAAATGGTAATTCCTCTGTTTTCATTCTCCTTGCTTGTATACGCGTTAGTGACGTTTCTCTGTAAACTAAAAGCATTTAGCTCCGCGTCTTGCTCCGCCTTTTGGTTGTGCTGGGTACTCTTTGGAAAGCGGTAAAAAAAAATTTATTCTTTTGACTATGGAAAAGGCCATAAAAGCGTACCGACCCATAACATACCACTCAGTGGAAACAAGCTATCATGGGTCTGGCTTGACAAAATTGATTAATCTCCAAGTGTCAGTTCTTCACATGTGGATTACTGAACAGGATTTGATGATTATTGACGATTTGACATAATCCAGGATAATTCTTCAAAATTCATCCAGTTGTCGTCATTGCAGCCGGTATGTAAGCTCAAACCTGCTGCTTCATATAAGTAGGCTTAGATTGAGTAATTTCAAGTAAAGGCACTGCTGAAAGTATGTACCAACTTTTTTAACAGTGTTGAATGAGGAATATTTTGAAAAAAATAATTTAAAATGCAAGTAACCTACACTATAAAATTAAAATACAAAAACTGTCACAAGTGTTACTATATTACTATAAGTGACACTATACTAGTATATGGTTTTAAGATGCCAGCATTATGAATCTTTTAAATACAAATGCAAACTTTGAAAAGGTACTGCCTTGGCTTTAGTATGCTTTCTATACAAACATCATTAAAATAAAGCTTTGGACAAATGGCATTAGTTTTTTACAATAAGCTTAGCACGTTATTTCACAATAGTAAAAAAAGTACAAGCTTTCAAACTCAGATAATGAAACTCCAACAATTATCATTTTGATACCGTAATCTTGACAATAGTGTTTTTAGTAATATTGACAATAGCAAAACAATTTCTTACTATTAACTATGAGTAATGTCACAAAATCATGTTGAGAGAAGCAATACAACGTAAGGATAAGCATTGTGATTGTTTCAACTATGAAAATAAATAATAAAACAGCTTGTAAACAATGTCACATAACATTCCATTCACATCAGGAAAGCCATTCAATGTTCATTCTCATCATTTAGCTACAAATAAAACACCTAAAATGATAGTTTGCACTATAAATAAATAAATATAAACTATAGTATGTATTCCTTATAGTGCAATTGTTTGAGATGTCTTAACTTCACATCTGAATGAACCTACTAGAAATTTATAAAAGCCAAATTCCAACAATGAAATAGAACAAGACAGTTTAATGAGTTAATTGATGTTCTATTAATTGCAATGTACCAATTGAAAGGCTCTCTGTATATTTTACAGCATTAGAACAGATGGTCTTTTTTTCCTAATTAAACTACCTAAAACCAAAACAAACGGATACTGAATCCAGATTAGAAGAGTTTGTGAATCCAAACCGAATTGTAAATTCAGAGCCAACACCTAACCATAATAACCACAAATGAATTTTCAACATTGTGCAAATGTTAAAACACGATGAACTCTTCTGACCCTCTTTTGACCCCGTTTGCATCCGGTTTGTAGTGCGAGAGGATGTGACATGGCAGACGAAATCAAGTGGCTTTGTTTCATTTTACACAGACAATAAGCAATGCCAAACACAGCACCACTTGTCGCTCTCTCAGTTCGCCACGATTACAGTGTTCTGGGCTAAATCAAGTAGCTAATGAGCCCAAGTATCCCACAGTCCGTTGCTGGTCACATCAAATGGGTCATGCACGAGCCTTTCGCTCTTAGAAACACAAGAGGAGAAATCTGAATCTGCTTTGCAAATTCCCGGAATAGCTGCAGAAGGGGACAGCTTTGCTGGCTTCATCCAAAGCCATGTGTGTTTGATGGCTGAGTCACACTGGGACCCTGCAGTTGCAGTCAATTCACACCATTAATCTTAAAGGAGACCTCAGGGGTTACGCAGATGAGCCCACGGCAGAAGATGATAATGATGTCTAGTATCAACAGGGTACGAGAGCAAATGAGTTCATCAAAAATGTGATCGCAGCACCTTGATTACAATAACACCCATTTGAATGTAAGTTCAGTCTCTAATAATGATGGTCCTCTTGACGTCTTCAAATAGATACTATTTAACTTAACTATGTTTGATCATGTAGTCGAGTTCATTTTATTTTGGTCATATATATTGTCACTATCATTTTTTTCATTCAGCCGATATCAATAATTATGACGATAAATGTCACATCTTTATATCTATTAATTTAAAAGGATTTTCAGCATGCCAATCTCATTGCAACTGATTTAAGCTGTCTGACAATATAAATAAAATAATATAAACAATCAAATAATCTTTTCGCAGGATTAGACATTACCCTACAAGTTATTGTATATTATTGTTCAACATCAGAACAAAGTGAAACAGGTTTGGAACAAGTACAAGGTGAGTTAATGGTGTATATATCAGTATATAGTAGAAGATATATAGAAGACTTGCTTTGTTTCCCAAATAAAGTGGATCTAATTGGATTTGCACAGTAAACATTAAACACAAGTTAAAAGGGTATTACTTTTTAGTTCATATATTAGGGTTTTAGTTATGATACTCCCAAAATCATTCTGCATAAATCCAAAGATTTTTAACAAAATTCTGTGCAGAAATAGCAAAAAATGTCCGCAGATTCAGTCTGGCCCTAGGCGTCTAACAGTTTGCAGTGCACGTTGCTCTGTTTTGTGTTGGATTTCAAAAAACTATATAGCTCCAGACTACTGAAGTTTAGTGACGTTTCTAGTTAACAATAGCTATGTTTCCATCCAAAAATTCTAATTAACTTTATGCACAAAACTGGAATATCGCATAAATGAAGTGCGAATAAAGCAGCGTTTCCATCCAACGAGTCAAAGAGAATAAAATCGTAACTTCCTAATTAACCGCCGCCAAAAATCAAAAGTAAAAACGAAATTTGCAGCGGTAGAAGCTTTGTGAATCTTTTATTCATTTAATAAATAACTTGCGGCATCATAGTTTATGCAAATTCTTTTAACTAATAAAAAGTTTATCCAGTTATGCACATGTTTTTTTTTTGTGCATTTTCAAAATATATGCGCATCTTGGCGTTTCCATCAACCATTTTTTATGAATATTTCCAAAATGCACATTAAAATAGGTGGTGGGCAACATAGCTAGTGCCTGTGACCTTTTTTTTTAACTCCAAGTCCAACTTACACTGTATGGCTGTAAACTACTACTACGTGCGGCATCCGGAAGTGCAGGCTGCAAAATGCCTGTGCAGCGTTAGTTACGCATAGTGTATAAACATTATCGAACACTTAATATATGGTCATTATCGGAAAAAAATATATATCATGACAATTATCGTTTTGCTGTAATATAAACAATGAGCCAGATGAAACTAGCTATGGAGTATATATCTCCATGCTCTGTAAGTGTACAGCATATAACAGCTAAAGCTGAATCAATATACAGTACTGTCATTTGCATTTATTAATTTGATATGAGGACTGATAATGAAAGTGCTTAGGCTTTACATAACAGCTTTATTTCTGTTTACTGGCAGAGGCAAATGACAGGGTAAAAATGTCATACATCATGTCCAGCTTTATGCAGGTTAACCAAGAAGATAACTGAAATTATTGAAATTAAAAATAAGTTATGGGCAATTGTGGAGAATACAGAAAAACTCAGTTGTTGCATTACATAATGCATCATTTTTACAGCACATCCTGGCTTACTAATATTTCTAGGTCGCTTTGATACAGCCTAGATTTTGGTGAACACTACCATCTGGAGTTTTTCCTTTCCAGTTTGAGGAAAATAAAATGAGGTTTGTTTGGCTCAGGTGTATCTACAGGGGAAGCTAACTACCACACCAAAGGCAATCTTTTTGAAGAGGAAAAGAAGTTAAGCAGCTGACATTTCACAATGACATCTTCACTAAAACAACCCCTTTCGGCTCAGATCAACCAACACGTTTGTTAAAATCCCCTACAGAAGGGCTGCTAACCTGGCGTGACTGAACAAGCATTAAGGAGGTCAGATGTTGAGGTGTGACTGGTCACTAGTTCAGTTCTGGAGAGCTTGCTAAAGCCGGTGTTAACACACCTGTCTCTGGCGCATGTATCTGGTTCACAAGTTATACTTTACGTTATTCGCTCATGTTTAAGGCGTTTTAATTGTATACATGAATGTTAAATGCGTGGACACGACAAAACACGAGTAAACGTATCAATTAGACGAGTAAGTTAGCTGCCGACTGCTAACCATTTAGCATAGATGCTAGCACGATAAATCTGCATGTTTTGGCCCAGCGCAGTTATAAATGCAAAACTATGTGCGGAGTTACTAAACCAACATAACAAACAAATCCGTCTTGATTTTACACGACTAGACAAAGCAGTACAACCGCCAAAATCCGTGTATAAACCGCGATGAGCTGTAGAATATTGAAGGGAAATGTGTTTAAAGAGGCCTCTATGTAGGCCGCGCCCGCTCCCCATGATGCTCTTGCTGGATCTACAAACACCCGCTCCCTTCTGACACCATAAAACCAGAACCACACAGGCTCAAGGGGAAGAAAACGAGTCGAAACAAAGCCCAGGGTTCAAACTCTCCAGCGGACTTACCTCCACATCTCGCCCCTTGTTTTTGAAGCTCTTAATGCGATGGTTTTCCAAGCCGGCGTTTTCGGCCATGGCTCTGTGTGTATGTGTGTGCGCCTGTAGTCCCGACCGACGTGCGGAGCTCCGCTCGGGGAGGAAGAGGAGGGCGGGGGGTGTAGCGACGTCCGATTCGCGATTCAATGAGTCAGATTTTTTAATGAACCGGTTCGCTAAATGAGCGGTTCTCGAGTCACATTATAGTTCACCCAAAACTGAAATTCTGTCATCATTTATTTGCCCTGTAGTTTTCCCAAACCATGTTTTTCTTCTGTTTAACACAAGAATATATTTCAAAGAAAGCTAAACACCTGTAACCTCTGACTTCCATATTATTCTTTTTTTCCTGCTTTCAATGATTTTTCTGTTCAACAGAAGAAACTGATAAAGGTTTATAGCCTTACCACATGAGGGTGAGTAAATAGTGAGCAAATGTTAGTTTTAAAGCGATTTTCAGCCGCTGATAAATAAAGGTTAATGTGACTATTTTCAATTTCATAATGTTATTTTTTCAGCATCAATATGTAGGCTAATTTAATTAAAATATAGTCCATTAAAAAGACTTAGGCATTCGTTTAGTCGTTCAAACATAGGCCTAAAATAAGATGAAAGGCCATTTAAAGGCAACTGCAGAGCACAGAAACTCCATAGAAAATTCTATCTCTGTATTTCCAGCCTGGTCTTAGATTGTCAGGCTGAAAGATGACCAGCTAAAACCAGCCTAACCACCTAAGACCAGACCAGAAATAGCTGAAACCAGCCTGGAAATGGTTGTTGCTTGATCAGGTTGCGGGTGAAGGATAACGAAAATGATTTATATTATTTATTATTAGCCAAAGAAAGACCAAGAGACGACACACAATAAAACGTTCCATTGCAACAGCAGCGCCCAGCAACAGATTCCGCCATTTTGGAGGGAAAGCGATCGGCTGTCCATTAGATCTTATTGCTGCCGCGATGGCAAGCAGCTGCTTTGTTTATTTATTTAAAAAGCGCATTAAAGCTGAGATCCAACCTGAAAGACGAAAATACAGCACTTACTATGACAATCAGCAGCACTTTTAATAGTTTATTTTTCAGACTTACAATATGCTGTTGTTCTATTGGAGTTTCCATTACAAAATCTGCGCCATCAAGTGGCTGTTTCCCAAATTGCACTAGAGTGTCGCCTCTTAGTAATTCTTTGCTGTTTGACATAGCAAATGAAGCCCCGCCTTTTAGTACAGGAGCCAATCAGCGATCACTATTTGGTGAATAAAGCCCACTTTCTAGTACAGGAGCCAATCAGCGAACGATATACGTAGAATAACAATTCTCCGGGGGAGGGGCTCGGACCACACGTGAGTCTATGCAGATTTTGTGTGATACGAACATTTAGAAATGAAACTCAGTAGACAGTTGTTGTTTAATTTTGTTGGTTATTCGTAATGCGTAATGCGCGTTTGATTATTTTGACTCTGGAAGAGTGACAGTATATTCACTGACTAGTTTATAAATAATGAGTTATCAGTAAATAATTAATGCTCTACAGAAGAAAACGACACAGCCTCTTGGACGGCCTGAGGTTAAGTAAACTAAATTGTTTGATGAACTATCCCTTTGATTTTGAGGAATGTTTCAAATGTGACAGAAGTAAACGTGTGATTATCGACACAAATCATTTTGTGTTGTTTTACCTTACAACAATCAAAAACAGCCTAATTTAAGCAGTGTGTATGCACATTATAGATTCTAAATCATCTTAATCTTTTAAAGGGCTGTCTGAATCATATACAACACACTGAATTTAATTGATTTGAAAGATAAACGACTTGAACTTAATTTCATATGTAATAACATGCCACATTGCATTAATAATAAGTTAAAGTAATTATTGAATCCTTTATTGAACTGGTTCATAACTGCGAAGATCCGAATCGCGGAATTGAATCGCACTTCCTCTCACTTTGGGGGGGGGGGGGGGGGAGCTTATGATGGTGCATGTACGTAGAACCGGGTGGTGCGGAGCAGACCGGACACAGCGTTCTACATGGTACCTGTAATTATCAAAACTTTTACATTTTATTATCATCATCTGATAGCAAGGTCTACACTACAGGGACACTGCAGTTTTACGCCACCTCTCTAGGGTAAAATGATCTTGAATATAAAGCGAGGTGTTTGATTGGACCCGTACAGTAGTCTAGTTTTGCGTCAGCGTGCGTAGACCAGCGATTGCGCAAGTTCTATCAGCTGACATAAGCCGCTTGCGTACGCCAAGAACGCAAATGCTACGTCACCGCGCACTTCAGTAGCCGGCGAGATGATGGCCAAGTCACCCTGAGTCCATAGTTCACTTATCTAGGCATTGCAGTTATTCTAACTTGCTTTGGAAAGATTTTTCCCTTTTTTAACTCAGAATGTTGATAAAGACTTTTCCTTACATGGGAAAATGTTTTGTTTGGTTTTGTTAATTATAAAATTGAAACTTTACATAAAAATAAAATATATTTTCTTAATCTGATCTTAACAACAAAATTTTATATACATAAATTTAAATTTGCAAACCAGAAACATGTTTTTGTTTTAAATATTTTGCTTACTGAAATGCAGTATTACTATGTAATTATTTCTAACTCTTATAAAAAAAGCCTTTAAAACAACAGAAATTTGTAAATTATATATTTTTCTTTATTGCGTGATGTATTGTTTTCTGATTGTTTTTGTTTTTCTTTTATTTTTTGTTTTTTTTAATTCAAAATGTTTTTTTATTTTCTTTATAATGTACTGTGATTGTATATTCTCACTTTTCGCATGAAAAAGACAGTCTTCGAGTAGAAATTAGCATTTTAATTAGAGGTAGCGTCATTTTAAATGGTTAAAGCCGATACAAGATAGTCTTTATGCACAAAAGACAAAACCAAAATCTTTATTGCTAAAAGACACTCAACACGTAGATGTCAGATTAGAACATAGAAAAGCAACACCATGTTGAACATTCAATCATTCATTAAAAACAACTTTGAAATGAATTACAATTTCTAAATAAATGATCAGATATCATTTAACCCCCAAATAAAAATATTACTCTTTTCTAACCTCTTTCAAATGTCACTTTACATATTGGCGTTGTTCACAAACTGGAATAATTATATAAGACATAATGTATATCAAAAGCAACATGATATGAAACTCACAATGAAAGTATGTGTGGGATAGATATATATATATATATATATATATATATATATATATATATATATATATATATATATATATAGGTTCCAAGTTTTAGAAATAATAACTTGACTTCTATTTGATCATTTGGTGTCAGGAGTGGCTTATATAGAAGGCAAAGGCCTCTAGATTACGCTTTTTGATCATGCCTTGTTTTTAATTATTAAATTAGGACAGTAAGGTCTGACTTTGCTAAGACAAAGGTCTTTTCACTTAAAAGAAATAATGTACAGTATAGAATATAAAGTAATCGTGCAGTGAAAAATAATGAATATTGTGTATGAATCCCATGAGCTTGGAGGACTGCATCCAGACATCTCTGCAATGACTCTAATAACTTATTAATGAAGTCATCTGCAATGGCAAAGAAAGCGTTCATGCAGGACTCCCAGAGTTCAAGATTCTTTGAATTCATCTTCAACGTCTCCACCTCCATCTTACCCCAGACATGCTCAATAATGTTCATATCTGGTGACTGGGCTGGCCAATTCTGGAGCACCTTGAGCTTTTTTGCTTTCAGGAACTTTGATGTGAAGGCTAAAGTAGGAGAAGAAGCGCTATCCTGCTGGAGAATTTGCCCTCTCCTGTGGTTTGTAATGTGATGGGCAGCACAAATGTCTTGATACCTCAGGCTGTTGATGTTGCCATTAACTCTGCAGATCTCTCGCGCGCCTCCATACTGAATGGAACCGCAATCCATGATTTTCCTTCACAAAACTTGCCTGATTTCTGTGAGAATCTTGGATCCATGTAGGTCCCAGTAGGTCTTCTGCAGTATTTCCGACGATTGGAATGCAGCTCAACCGATGATTCATCTGCAAAATCTACCTTCTGCCACTTATCCATCAACTAGAAGTCAAGTTATTTAACAAATCAACGGATTATGATAATAAGTATGGAGTGTGTGGGTCATATATCAAACAGAAAAAGTGATGCAGTGTTGACTGTTTTGAGTCAGCATCACTTGAAATGTATAAAGTGTCAGTCATGATTGTCAGCTGTAATTTATGACTCCAATATATACCCGTTTCATATTCAAACCAAAAATTCACAACAGTACAATGTTGATATACAAGTAAAATCACAGTGCAAAAGAAAGATGAATGCGCTGAATAAACTTTGAGATCAGTGCACAAATAAGTGTGCAGGATGATGAAATCGCACAAGTTGACATGAAAAGCAGAAGGCCATCTGTCGTTTGACTCAACTCCTTTCAGTAGTCTGAGCCACCCTATAGTTAGGAATCAATCATAACCGTAGCACTTCAAATCCCGGCTGTGGAGTATGTTTAGTGTATGCAACAGCACAATGGGAACTTTAAAAGATCTGTTGCTCGAAGAGAATCTTCTGGTAGCCTTGTGGAGGAGGATAGTAGAAGTCACCGAACTGACAATCCAGTATTGCACTATCGTCCACTGTGAGGGACAAGATAAAGACATGCATGTTTAAGTCTGTTAATCCTCACATATTACACTGATTACCCCTACAATTAATAAATCAAAAACTAGATGCAAATGCAAATTATTTTTAAAATACAGAATATTACAGGTATAGACAATCAAAATAAGGTTGTCTTTAATGTTTAAAATACGTTTTTATTTTTATTGCAGAGTAGGAAAAAGGATTATGATTGTAATTTTAATCAAACCCTGCTATATGTTTTTTTCTGACCGAAAAGTGACTGAAGGATGACGTGGTTTCTAAAAAACACCAACTAAAATGTCATTCAGTGTAACAATAGATTAAATTTAGAAGAAGAATTTCATTATATCATCATATTCTCAATTTAGGGATCATAGAGAAGCCCTAAAATACACATTTTAGAATGACCTTCAAATTACTAAGATTTACTCAATAGCAAGCAAAAGGTTTTCAATCATTTAAAAATGACAATTAATTATGATAATCATTCATTGTTTATATCTTTTACTAAGTATAGAATACATAAATATATCTGAATGATGACGGAACATTATTTCTCACACCTGTTCACATTTTATTTCACAAAAGACTCTTGAATCCTTACTACACATTTTGTGTACACATATTAGGGCTGCACGATACTGGCCAAAAAAAAAAAAATCGGACATTTCAATATTTTATATTTCTGGGATATGAATTACGGCTGCATAATATATGCTTTCAGCATCAATGTCGCAATATGATCATTCGCAACAGTCACATCATAGTATAAATACTATAAGAAGTATAAATCAGCCTTATAGTGTTGATGAACAGAAATTTAGTAATCAAATGTACAATAACGTGTCTGAAATGTGGCTCCTGGGTAATTATAATCCTAACTTGATATTGTAGATTCTGCCATGTGACTATTGCAGATTCACACATTGCGATATCGATGCAGAAATTATATATTGTGCATCTCTAACACACAGCATAGTTTCTATGTACATACAATCACTTTAGACACTAAAAAGGATCTAGCCTTTGTCCTAATTACAGTTCACATAACAAAAAGGAATATACGAAAACATTAAAATACTCACCATAAACTACAGGATAAACAGTTCCTCTGATGCCTGATGCTGGACAGTTCATATTCTTCCCGTTTAGGTACAAATTCAGTTCCACATGGTCATATGTAACACCCTTCAAGCACAAAAACATGGCAGAAAGCAAAATTAGATGCATGAAGCTATTATATTCAAACAAACCACCAGCAGAGCAGATTCAATTATATTTGCTGTAAGTGCATAAGATAAAACCAGAGTGGACATTTCATTACGACAATGATCCAAAACACAGCCAAGGAGACTCTTGAATGCTTTCAGAGAAAGAAAATCAAGCTGTAGAATGGCCCAACTAATCACCTGACTTAAACCCAATAGAGAATACAAATTAAAGATCAGATTTGACAGACGAGACCCACAGAAGATTTTTACACTCTGTTGAAGTCTGTGAAAAATCACAGCTGAGCAATGCATGTGACTTCATTCTCCATATGAGAGGCGTCTTTAAGCTGCCATCACCAAAAAAACCTTTATATAAAGTATTAAATACATTTCAGTAGTTCAGCACTTGTGTCTAGGGTTGGGCGATGTCGACTAATTTGGCATCGTACAATGTCTAATGTGAAACATCGCGATGGCATCGTCGTCATAGGCGGAGGTGAATTACTTATGAATAATTAATTAATTCATAACAAATTAATAATTCGTAGGCTACCGTTTCAACTACCTGACCCGCATGGTCTTTGTTTTACCAATAACCAAATCATAAGTAAATACATACACGCATATTACCACCAGTCAATCACTTTTTCCGCTGAAGGCTGGTCGATAAAAAAGGTGCACAACCAACAGTAACTGGGGCTTTTATTAAAATTACTAAGTACAAGAGTGAAAGTAAAAGACTGAAGCAGTGTACTGATGCTGTGACACGTTACCTGATAGATTCAAAAGACAGAACAGTCGCTCAATAGAGACAAGATTAATTAAATATCACATTTAACAACTATAGTGAGACGCGATCCAGCGGTGAATCCTTGATAAACTGTCCGACGTGCACTGCTCTCTGGAGCTCAGACGAGAGCATGACAGTGTGTGAGTGTGTGTGTGTGTGTGTGTGTGTGGTTACGTGATGTGTGTTTTCAGCAGATGGAGGGCTGTTCAGAAATGCTAGGTAAAACAGTGTGGATGTGGATCATTTTTGTTCTAAATTGCTATTTTAATACTAAGACATTTTAGTGTAAACAGGGCCAAAGTGTGTATTTTTCGCGAGCTACTGGCCATCGGCGATGGACAATGGCATCGTCTATCGGCCCAATCCTACTTGTGTCATTCCATTGTTATTAAGCGACTGATTTTTTCAGATTTTTTGTTTCTTTTATTTTTGTTTGTGTTTGTTTGTTCAATTTCATGTCAACAGCTTCTTTAGAAATATTATGCCCAGGAAAAAAACAAGTTCAATACTTATTTTCCCCACTGTATAAGAAAACTCAGTAAATGCAAGATAAAATACAATGCTGCTGTCATGAAATGTAGCATCCCCCCAGTTAATAAATTATTGCAGAAAATAGGACCTGTGCCCAGCAAACATTGATGATTCTTACATGTCTTTGTTTTGTTCCTGGTGATAATCTTCACAACTTCTTTGAATTTAAGAGCATTTGACTTTAATGCTATTACCATTAACCTTCAGTGTTATTTTCTTCTTACATCAGTTTTAATTGAGTTAGAATAGTTAGCAGTTAGACAGACGAGTCAAAACATTGATAAGCGCCACATGCTGTGTGCTGCCAAAAGAGTGCCAACCCGCTGAGACAAGACTGCACAGGTTAAATTTAAGATTCAATCTGTGAGCGCCTCACATTACCAAATAATCTGGAATAAAAATCTGAACTGTCTGAAATCCCAGACAAAATATTATCAGTCCTGTAACGTGGGCCTGGCCATACTAAAGCACACAAATGCATTTATCCATCATCAATAAATCCCATTTAAACATTACTGCTGTTAAAGTGATATAGTTCACCCAAACATATTCATTTTCATCCTCAGGCCATCGCTCATCCTCAGGGTGTCATCGCTTTAATAGTCCAAAAAAAAAAAAAAAACAGAAGCATGCAAATTATAATTATTACTCGTGACTCCCAATACTGCACTAACCAAAAGCATCGCTCAGTGCAGAAAACTGAACATGATCTACATCATTACCTGTGCGTACACTGAAGTATACAGTATGAGCATCTCATCTTTATTGACGTATTTGCAGGTGTAAGCTGAAGCACTTGGGTTTGTTTACCACAGGGAGAGAGAGGATGCACCTGTGCATATTATGTAACGAGACGCTCGTAGTACATACTTCAGTGTACATTCTCAGAGTCGTTTGCCTAGACTGTGAATAGCAGATAATAAAAGCTATAAATAATGTTCAGTTTGTTGCATTTGTTGATGGTTTCAGTTCATAAGACCTCAGTATATTGACAGGAGCTGCGGGTAATACTAATTTGTTTTTTTATCTCAAATGATAGCCAGACCCCTTAGTTTTTCATCATTTTTGACTGATTTTGTGGTGGTAATTTCTAGAAATTTGTGTTAAAAATATATATAAATAAATAAATCAATAATTTATTGATTTGATGCACATCATAACAGGCTACCAGCCATACATTTAAAGCAAAAATAATGTCCTTAAATCCGGTCACGTCTAGTAGCAGTCATCCTTGAACCAAACTCCATCATTGTAAGCTGCTTGCTCTTCTGTCTGTTCCATTGCTCCACTTGTTAGATGTTTGCTCTCACTTTCTTTTGCAGGCTGAAGCGTGTCAAATGCAGAAAACGGCCAATTTGCGCCGTGTTATTCACTCGATTTGCACCACAGGATGTCTAATCACATCTTTGCATCTCGTGCTTCATTTGTGTCTGCTTACTGCATAGGTTGTGAAACTACCCCCCCCCCCCCCCGCCCCCCCGGAATTGGATGTTTTATGAGATTATTTGTGATTATTTTGCAATTAAATTAGGAATTTTGCAGGGTCTTAAAAACATTGGGACTTTTTGTTGATTTAGCGTTGGATTCCTCAGAATTCCTTCCTTCATCAGAACCGTGAAAAACTAGGAGATGTCTGGATAGCATCCATGAATCGCCATTATATAGATACCAGGAGACAACTCGTTCGATTTTTTTTTTTTTTACTTCTCTACCTGGTCATCTGCATCTTAAAAGGCCTGAGGGCTTCATTTTTGGATGCACTATCCCTATAAGACTCACCACAATGTCCCCTTCCTGCGGCAAGCTGTTAGCTGGTAATCGGTTCTTTTCTTCGTTGTTATGGTACACGGTGCCATCTTGCCGAAGCACAAGGCTGTGCGGGTCTCGACCCAGAGGGATCTGGTTTAGATTTGCTTTCTGAGTTGCCACTCCTATTCCCCAGACACCTGCAAGGAGCAAAGTTCAATTCAGCCACACCTAATAACTAGGATAACTAATAACTAGAATTATTTTCAGTTCATCTTCAATTCTATAGCACTTTTACAATGTAGATTGTGTCAGAGCAGCTTAACATGGAACTTCTAGTACATTGAAACTGTGTCAGTCCAGTTCTCAGAGTTCGGTTTAGTTCAGTTCAGTTGGTTTACATTTCACTGCTGAAAGTGCAAACACTGAAAAGCAAACCCATCGATGTGCAGCTCCACGATTCCCAAAACGAAGCCAGCTAGTGCCAGCTACTTCTCAAATTAACGAAAGTGAAGGAAAAAAAACCTTGAGAGAAAACAAGCTCAGCTGGGCATGACCATTTCTCCTCTGGCCAAACTTCTTGTGCAGAGCTTTCTGATCAGGCTTACGGTTCTACTGCCAATAGCATGTTTACTTGGTAGGATTGGTGTAAGCCAGTAAGTAGAAATCGACATCACTTGATAGATGTGATGTATACTGGAGAGTAGCAATCGATAACATGCTTACGTGAAGAATAAGGCTCTAAAAACAACAATGGAGGACACGCAGTACATACTATTCTTGCTTCTTGGTATGCGTCTGTTTGTGACTTTACATTTCTCACCATGCTATTAACAATGTCTGCACTTAGACATTGCCTTGTTTCAGCTGTGTATTTAAAAACGGCACTTCCTGTGTAGTTGTAGCTCCCCTTGCAGCATGCACTCTGTAAACCAGTCAGCATTCTGTAGTGAGTCGAGCTCCACACTTTATGTATTTTATTAGGTACTTTTTACTGTGTGGTTGTGCCAATTTGGAACCATTCACAACTTCTGACTGTGAAAATCTAAATAATTGCTTATCATGCTGTACTGAACCACGCCATTCAGTGGAAACGAGCCATAAACATAATAAATGCTCACACACACATCATGCCTTACCTGTAGACTGAATCTTGAATTCAAAGTAGCTTTTGTTTTGATGGAGAGGAGCGTTTGCTGTACAGCCTCCGGTTCCACATATGCGTCTTCCACTCTTTACAATGACAACATCAGTACCTGAAATTAACAATTATTTTGAGAGACTTTGTCGCATTTATTCTGCATCACAACTTTCATTAATGTGTAATTGTGCTTTTTTCACCTGTAGATTTTGTAGGTTGTGCTGTGTAGATTACTTACAGTGTACTCCATTACTGACAACAAATGACATCCTAAAACGGCTTTGCCATGTAATCTAATATATTAAATTCTAGGTAACAATCATAAATAATATTTAATTTATTTTAAACCAATTTGTCTTTCACAATAAATTGTATAGAATAATATTTAAGGAAGGAAAATGAATTCACTTTCCGTTATGTGGTTGATTACTTGCAAACTGTGTAGTCCAAAGGTCTTTAAACTCAATTCCTGGAGAGCCCATCTCTGCACAGTTTTGCTCCAACTCTATCAAAAACAGCTGATCCAAATAACCAAGGTGTTCAAAAGAGTCATGAACACCTTCATTAGTTGGATAAGCTTTGTTTGATCAGGGTTGGAGCAAAAGCAGCGCAGTGCAGAGCAGCGGCCTTCCAGGAATAAAGTTTGAGACCTGTGATCTAGTCCATTACTGAACAGTGAGCACAGATTACATGATAATAGTGTAGTCAGTAAAGTAATTTAACGCTGACATTTTAAGTTAGTTTGAATAATGCTGTACTGCATTAATAAAACTGAAAGAATGAAAATGAATCCACTCTTTATCAACAACATGTAGGCCATTAAAATTGTAACAAACTATGAAAAACTTAATAAATTTCATAATTATTCAAAATAAGACAAATAAATATTTTTAAATATATAAATAATCTTTTTTTTTATATGTTGTGTGGCCTCTAAAAAAAGGAATATTTGTATAATAATACTAATAGTATTAATAATATTGATAATAATAATAATTGGGGTAATCATTTAATTAGGAAAAATGGGCGTTTTGTAGTACTACTACTGGTAGTCACTCTGATTAAGGACAAAAAGCGTAGTAATATAACCAAATTATAAATATGTCATTGTTAAATTCGAATTACGAAAAAATAATTAATTACCAGCACTGATTTTGGTCCATTCCTGCTGATTATTTTGATTATACAAATGATTTGATGATTATACAAATATATGTATTTACTTGTTCAATCTACTTAATTAAAATGAGCAGAAACAACACAATTCTTGAGATTTCATTGGGACAACTTAATTTTTTATGTTCAATCCACATAAATTTGTGGAAAGTGTTACGTTAACTTAATCGATTTGTGTTGGGACAGCATGAATGAATTGTATGGAATCCAGCATTTTTTACAGTGTATAGAAACAACGACACTGCCGGTTTATGATTTTATCAGTGTTTTTGGTTATTATAATGTGTCTGAAATGACAGATTCATCACTCACCCATGTGATGAGTGTCCAGCTGAACCGTGGGCATTTCCTTCAGTGTTACGTGGCCACTGTTATTGTCTCCACAGCAGCCAAAACAGCACGAAAGCAGCGCTGCCATAATATTATTTTTCCCACAGCAACACTGTTACGGTTAAATAACTTGATTCCGCTCAAGTTTAGTTGTCATACGGGGCTATTCGAGCCATCAACCAACGGAGGTCATTTTTATTGAATCTAGATGCTAAGCTAACAGGATATGACGTGATAAAAGGGAGTTTTTTCCGCTTTTAGAAAAAAAATATTATTTCTAGTTCAACGGCGACCTCTAGTGAACAACCGACGCTATTATTACAAAGATCACTCAGCAAAAAAAATAAAAATCTGTCATCATTTTCTCGCCCTCATGTTGTGACAAAACTGGTTTTCCTTCGTCTGTGAAACAAAATAAATGAGTCACATATACACACTATATGAAATCAAATGCCCGTCAAAAGTGAAATCGTTTATCTCGTTTGTTGCTAGATCAGATATGGTTGCTGTCGGAAGTTAACAAGAATACATTTATATTATTTATTAAATTTCCTATTTATTGCATTTTATGAACGTCTCACCCTAAACCCAACCGCAATGTAAAAATAGTGTAATGGAGTATTATTTATTACATTACCCAATAAATTGTATTTTACCCCTCACCTTAACTCTTAACCCAACCGTCACAGTACTGTAAAAATATTCAATATTGTTATGCATTGTTAAAAAATGATGGCAACGCTATACTGATGCTTATCCGCAGCTATCCCGTCCACCTCATACATTTGAATTTTAAACGTAACGTTATTATATAATCGACTTTCACTTACAATTATAACAACTTTTCACGTAAAAGAAAGTTCTGGATAATTGAATATATGATTAAAGACGTTTTTGTGGGGATAAAATATCCCTTAATGAGTAAAACTTCATCCCGTTCGACTGGATTACTACCACACATCAGGTAATTTTGGCCTTTCTGTCTTTGAGACATATTTTGACGACATATTGTGCAGTAATTTGTCAGACCACATGTAGCTTTGTTTTGATACAAACTAGTCGTTTGAGCGAGGATCCAAAAACGTGCGAGACGGAGTGCAAATCTGAGGGATCAGGATCGATGTGACCTTAAAAGCTTTTAACCTGCTCTGTGCCACTCAGTTACAGCTGTGAAGTTTTGCATGGCAACAACCTCGCCGCTCAAAGTAAGGGGCGATCTATATCCGACCAACTTCTTTCAAAAACGAAAACATGCCTTTAGTTGTGTTCACATATTGTCTCGCTCTCGCATTGAAGTCTTGTTTAATTAAACATTTCGAATAAGAGTCGTTATTGACTCCTGTAACGCGCGACTTGCCTGTCAACTTTTGTTTGTTGTTTTTGAAGTTCGCTAGTGTTGAAATCTGCACAGCAACAAGCGCCATGATTGCGTTTGCGGAGTGCCCTAGTAACTGGCGCGCGCGGTTTCTATCCAATAAAAGAGCGCGTGATGTGTTCGCAGTTATGCGGTGGAACTGTTTTTCCCAACATCCATACTTTTCATGGGATTATTGCATTATTATAGAAACTATTTATTTTGACTTACCTCACGTTCTTGACCTTTGGGTGACTAGTAAGCAGATGTCGAGGTAAATGGACCAAATGAAGGTACAGTAGGCACATCATGGTCTTCCTATTTGATTTTTAATAGCTATATATTCTGATTTAGCTCTAGATTGTTTAATTTGTCATGGAATATATATCTAGTAATCACTAGGGAACATGTTTGTAGTGTGAATGCACTTCTAATAACTTTGCCGTTTTCGCCATACTATGATTTCGGGACGCAGGTGATGCCATTTAGTGAGGTGATCATATATGATTTCGCGGTATGTCATAAATGAGCTTAAAACAGCAAACAGATGCTAAACAGGAGCGCACTTGCCTGCGTGCCTTTAGTATTTTGAACAACAACAAAACCGTTATTTTCAGGGCTGCCCAATCAGATTTCAGGATAACCCTGCGCGCTGCTCAGCTGTGACACTCCACATGAGGTTTCTGTGGAAATTACCCGGTAGGATCTCGCCTTACCTGCCAAGAATAGCTCATTCAGAACAGAAGGGGAAAAAGTTGTGCAGACCTTTAGGGTGCACTATGAATTTCCGCTTCAGAAAGTGGTCAGTGCGTATTCTAATGTACTGTATTTATGCTCTTGTTCAGTCTAGGGATAGAGTAACCTCAATGACATGAGAAAGAGAGTGACGTAAGAGCATGAAGAAAGTGACGTGGTCTCTGCCCTATTTTCTCTTAATATTTTTTGGTTCGCTTGTGGTATCCGTCATGAATGTCATTCGACAATTTTATTGATTTCACTTGTACCTGCTTTTTATTATTATAACGCGATGTGCAATTGATGTGGATATTTTTTAAAGGATTTTTTATACTATAGAAATAATAAATATATTTTAATTAATATAAAGGCAAAACATTTTGCTGTGCTAGAGGCACCAATTATTATTATTATTATTTTCAAAAGTTATTGGCGTTAAATAAAGAAAAAAGAAAACAATCGATTACATAACCATAAGTGACCAATCAAAACGACAGAAGGAATATAAACCATTATATATATTTATTCATGCTGACCTAAAACAATAAGATTTACAATGCATGGCTACCCACCAATAACTGGCCCACGTCGTGTAGCAACTGTCATTCAGCATCTAAAGAGTATTAATACGTGCAGTAAGCGTCGTTAATACACACAATTATAATTAACAGGATTCTGTGGTGCTCTTTTAGAGTTTAAGTAATGTCACTTACATGCATAAAAATAACATACAGTAGGGTTTGTCTTTAAATCTTGCACGTTATATGTAATATTACCAGCTGAAGCGTTTGGTCAAGATTTCCATGAATGCTGGGTGCCACAGATGAACTTACATTAACGCTAGTTGATTGGCAGCTGGAGATCTAAGTTAGTTATTTTATAGTTTAACCGCGTTTACTGTAATGCTGGATTTTGAGCAGGATCGCTCACCTTCTGTCAGAAATGTGAGATTCAAGACCTGCGCTTCGTCGTTTAAGATAATCAGGGGGTTTATTTGAATAAATGTTTCAGTTTTTAAATTATGATATTGCATTTAAGTCATTTAAATCTTGTTTGTACTGAACAACCTATAATTATTTTATTTTGACATATGATTTAAAAACCAGTACAATAAATAAGATGGCCTTAACTGGCGAGCGTGCGTGACCGTACATCGAATAAACGGTATTCTCATCTCCACATATGAACAAAATGAAATGAAGTTGAATCTTAGCTAAAGATTTGTTTAGGGTTGGCACATTTCTTTGATTTTTGCCCTTTCGTGTACCTAACAAGGTTCGTGTTTAAAGCTGAAGTGGCCCTAAAAGTTTTAGATAAATTAGCATTTTTACAGTACATTTTCCATCTTTCACTTGCTTATTTGACACATTTCTGTATAATTAATCCAGACGAAGGCAAACTTTTCTTAATCTTGGCCTGGTGGTGGACACGAATTTGAAGAATGGTTTCCTCAGTATCGCCTGAGGAGAAAAACGAGCATTTCAACGGAGGGAGTGTAAATATACTTATTATTAACGGCCCTTACCAAGGGAAAGAAACGCGAAATATCAAAACAAACACCTAAAAGTACCAAAAGGGGCCTGTCTACCGATTAATTCTGTCTGCACCCCTCCCCTAAATAATAGCTTAAAAGAAACGGGGGGATCTAAATAAAACTTGAAGCCATTTGAAGTTTCCCAGAAGATGGCGATGCTGCGTTATACAAAATGTGAAAATAAAGACGGAGAGTACATTACTGATGTGATGATGCCACAACACTGTAATACGACACATTTTATCACTCTTCATCGGTGTGCCTCGACCAAAAAGTTAGCAGGTAGAGCTCCGTAACGTCTAGAAATGGTAAACATTTCTTCTGAGAAATTATGAATTTGATATACAGCCCATAATTCAGTACATTAAATAGTCTGTCAAAAAATGATGGTGATTTTAATATTTTTATCTTTATTTTTTATTTCATTTTCAAGTACATTTCATCAACGAGCTCAAAGCACTTATGCAGAAGCATCTGACCCATCTAAAAATCGAATTACAAACAATTATACAGCGCATTGGATGTAATATCAGATTTCATGTCATCTGTTCTCCCAGAATAAAAGCATCTAAAAACACAGTCATTAGGCCAGCATGTCATTAGAAAGTCGTTGGTCTTCAAGTGACGAGATGAGGGATCCCGAGGCCCCCGCAGACGGTAAACGGCCCGCCTAACTCCAGCAGCACGGTCAATACTGGAGGATTCGCAAGTGCTTTGACTCCAATATTTACGTGCTGCTACAGCCAGGCAGCCAGTCTGTCACACGGCCAAGTTCAGGAGACTCGCAGGCACACGTAGTCTTGCTGCTGCCGCTGTTGTTTTAGTCTACTTCATCTTTCTTCTCGGTGTTTCACCCGTTTGAATGGGAAGTGCGCGTCTGTCCTGTCGTTGTTGCCGCAGCACAGTACGGCCTGCACCCCCGTTATAACTCACAAACCATTCTGTGCTGCTACAGTACCGACAGGCCCCGCACAGAGCGCGCGCACACACGCACTCACGCGAGGCGCGCGCCCACACATCCGCACACACACACACACACGCACGGTTCTCGTTTCGCAACCTGAAAACACAGGATCAACACAAAGGGAGAAAGAAGTGTCAATACGGATGCATCTTGTAATTTAATAACCAAAATGACATCGAAAAAAGGATCCAAGCTTGCTCAGAACATCTGAAACTAACATTAAAAATAGGAATAAAATACTAAGAGGCAATTTTAATTGAAATGTGTGACTTCTCCTGGCTTGTGGGCTGTTATGGCTCATGTTTGGTTGTGCTATGCAAATGCAACATGACATAGATTACTAAGATAAGGATGTATGGAAAAACATACAAAGTGTAACATATTTTATTTATTTTTTTAGGTTTCAAGTGAACATCTTTAGTTCGCTCTAAATGGAAACCTGGAAAATTGGCAGACGTCTGTCCAATTTCAAGGTCATGCATTGTTTTTCATGCTTAAAAGTTTGTTGTGAAATGTGAGGATGCCTTTGACAGAGATGACAGTTCAAATATCACATAACTACAGAAAAGCAAACTGAAATTAAATTTTTCAATTAAGTTAATCAGATTTAGTAAAAAAGTTTTAAATTAGGGCTTGGTGATATAACAAAAATGCAATCTCGATAATTATTTTCCATATTGAATGATAACGATATACATTTTGATATAAGATGTTAATGCCTCCAGATTCAAAAGACAATCCCAACGATGACTGAAACCACAAAAATAAGAGGGTCCATTAAATGGCATACCATATTTTCAGCCAATACATTTTTAGTGGCCAAAATATAATTATATCTTGAATGTATTAAATTTGATACATCTCAAAAATTCAATACATCTCTAATCTCTACATCTCGGTGGCCAAAATTTGATTTCAACACACTTTTTAGATTCCCACTGTTGCACATTTCTACTGTGTGATTGGCTCTCAGATCAATATAGACTAAAAAAAAGTTCGGAGCTTATAATTTTTATTGACATCAATTTGATTGCCATTAAATATAATATAACTTATCAGCCCAGCCCTAGTTAAAATATAAATATGGTTCCTTGACGGACAGTAGACAATGCATTGAACTCCATTGTGGTATAAATGGGATTGTTTGTTTTTACTGTAAGAAGTTCATTGTTAAATGTAAATATATATATATAGTTGTATACACACACACACACACACACACACACACACACACACACACACACACACACACACGAAGCCAGAATTACTAGCCCCCTTTGTATTTTTTCCTTCTTTTTAAAATATTTCCCAGATGATGTTTAACAGAGTAAGGACATTTTCAGTTTTTTGTCTGATAATATTTTTTCTTCTGGAGAAAGTCTTATTTGTTTTATTTCATCTAGAATAAAGCAGTTTTAAATTTTCAAAATTATTAGCCCCTTTAAGCTATATTTTTTCTCTGTAGTCTACAGAACTAACCATCGCTATACAATAACTTGCCTAATTACCCTAACCTGCCTAGTTAACTAAATTAAACTAGTTAAGCCTTTAAATGTCACTTTAAGCTGTATAGAAGTGTCTTGAAAAATATCTAGTAAAATATTATTTACTGTCATCATGACAAAGACAATATAAATCAGTTATTAGAAATGAGTTATTAAAACTATTATGTTTAGAAATGTGCTGAAACAATCTGCTCTCCGTTAAACAGAAATTGTGGAAAAAGTAAACAAGCAGTCTAATAATTTAGGGGGGCTAATAATTCTGACTTCAACTTTATGTATGATTATACAACAGATTAAAAAATATTCATATTTTAGGAAATTACCTCAGCAACTTTATTTTAATACCTTTGGCCCACCACCCTCAATTAATTTTAGTTTTTGGCCCTTCATGAGAAAAAGTTTGGGCACCCCTGGTATATAGAGCTAGAATGCTGAGTTTATTGCCATATCAGCCTCTTTGGCTATGTCATGGCAAAAAAAATAAATAAATAAAAAAAGATCAAGTTTACCACATTTTATAAATAACACTGTTCTATATTTATTAAATATTCGACAATTCATCAACGCATGCCCTGATGTAGCTATTTTTGGGATTTCAAAGATTTGCTCTCAGTTTAATTCTAAACATCTTAATATTTTGGCCTTTACCTCATTATTAGCTTGGCATCGTATTCTACATAAGTGAAAATCAAATAAGCCTCCAACTATATCCCAATGGCTTGTGGATACCATGCATTTTCTAAAGTTGAAAAACGTTCGATGCTCTAGCAAAACTAATTCCTTTAAAAAGTGGCAAAGTTTTAGAACTTACTTTAACTCTCTTAACATCTTGCCTTCCATTTTAATAGATGCACTCTCCTTCTATTTTATTTATTCATTCCATAGTATTTACATTTTTGTTTGTTTATAACTATTGTTATTTTATATTGTTTAATTGTAAACATTTACTTTCAACAATGACAATGCATCTGAACATTGATTGGGTTGTAATTTTCTGTACACTTTTATTACTCTTGATTCCATTTTCCCCCTTATTATTATTATTATTATTATTAAGTTTTTTGTTTTATTATTATTATTTTTCTTTTTTGTAAAACAACAACAAAGATAAGGGTATGTAACTATTTGTAATGAAATAGTTTGTTTTTTCGCAATAAAAATTGAACATAATACTTATTAACAGCTTTTAAATGTGTAAAATTGCTTCCAAAAAATCATATTAATGTTAAATTCTTGCTTTTTACACTGTTTGTGATCTTTATATAACCAAATATTTTATATTTTGTTTAATTAACAGCACGTTGCTAATCTGCAGCGATGGGTGGATATGATTGCAGAAGTGCTCTGTGCACAAAATCTTTTGCACACGGTTTGGTCAGTTCTGGTAATATGGTACCTGTTCTGAGAAAAACGTGATAATCACGCCATTCTTACACAACCTGTCTTTCTCTCACTGATGAAACCACCGTTATCAGGTAAGTGTGCAGCATTGAAATCCACTGTAGTCAAAGCTTTATTTTATTACATTAGCTTTAACAAACCATGATGATAACTTCAGAAAGCCAATGACTTTTCAAAACTCAAGCTTAAAATTGATCCTAAATTTATTTGAATATTCAAACAGAACCCACGAGTAGATTCAAATCAGCCGAGACATGCATTTTTAAAGAACTAAATGAGTAAGCTAAACAACAAAGTACGCTTTTGTTCTAAATCCTCTTTGAAATGACTCTTACGTAGCGAGTGTAAGAAATAATTGACATGACTCGTGTGCAAAGTGCAAAATGAGTGGGCTATTAATAACAATCATTTCAGGCATGACTAACTTGCAATATTTATCATGTTCTATTTCTGATGTTAGTTGTTTTTGTAAACCCTCCCCCCAGGTTTCTGTTCCATTCAGCATGTGCTCGTATGCTTTTGTACCAGGTGAGCCCACACTGACAATAAACTTTTGGAGTCACACAAGCGAGAGGACAGTGAAGCATCTGCTGTCTATAAGGCTAAAATTACAGGTTATGAAAAGAGGACTTCTGGGAGAACAAAAAAATGAAAAGTGTTCGTGGACAAAAGCTTGTAGCCTCCCACATTATAATATTTACTTATGTTGTTTGCTCTGTCTGTATGCCTTTCACCTTTTTTTTTTCTCTTTTGTCAGGTACTTCATGAGAATATAGACATTTTTAGGCTATTCTATACATTTCATGCACTACAAATTCACATTTCTTATATTTCTTTTATAGGCAATAATAAGGTTAAATCAGTGGTGTACTTACAGTCACTTGAGTCTGTCACAGCTCAGTGTCATGCCGTGTGCTCTACATTCCTTTCCTGGAGAAAACAAAAATAAAGACATTCATGAAGCACAAATTTGGGCTTTTTTTGGATTATTTTTGCGTTAGACATACAGTGCTCAGAACTATTGAGTACACCACATTTTGAAAATGAATATTTTGATCCATTTCTCAGTCTCAGGCTGTGTATTTTGCTGCACTTAAACAAAACAGATTTTTTTAACAGATATATGTATTAAAATAATATTTTAGTCACCAAACATATTTAGATATAAAAATATGCAATTCAATTCAAGCTAAATATTGCAAAAATTAAATGACAACCTACATAATTTCAACAAAAACCTTCAAATTCTTTTGCTTTTCTTGATTTCTCCTCTTTAAAATTTAATATGTTCTATATCATATAAATTTGGGTGTACTAGTTTGTGGACCGTTATTTTGTTAGATAAGCTCCAGATTTGTCAGACTAATCTAACGTATATGCACAAATATAATATTGTAAAGTTTCCAATTAAAAATATGATTTTAAAAGAGAGATTTGTGAAGGGTGTACTTATATATGCTGAGCACTGTAATTACAGGTTAAAAAACACTTTATAGCATGCATTCATTTGACTGAACTGGTGTAATAATCTCATGTTTGTAAATCATTTCAATGATTAAATGTAGCGTATTTTTTTCTGAAGATAAATCCTTACGTCATGATTGTGTGTGAGTGTGTAGGAAAGTTATACTATCTCCAACAATCAAGTCAAAACAGTACTAAAGCTGTGAATATCTTCAAAAAATAGTAATTATATGTTATATTAGGCATGGGATGATAACCGTTCTCAAGGTATACTGCGGTTTGGAAAAGTCAAAGTTTTAAAACAGGTAAAATTTTGAGCAATATCGTTCCTAAGATATGTGTAATATCTTTTATTTACTTTTGTTTAGTTTTTTAGGATAACAGTATCTCCAGAAGAAAAAATATCCAAAGATGACTTTTAAATTGTAAAGAAATCTGTGTTTTTGAAACAAAAGAAGACAGCAGAAATCTATGATTCATTTGAATTATAAAGCCTGACATGTTTACTGCTCTAAAGTATTAAACATCTTTAAAAAAAAATTATATTGTTTTCAAAGTGGAAAAAAGTTTTAGTTTTTTTACCCAGACATTTAAAAAGAATATATTTTAGAGCAGTAATCACAATATCTTGAAACCGGGATATTTTTATTTAAGGTTATCATACTGTCAGAATCTTATAACAGCCCATGCCTGTTATATATATATATATATATATATATATATATATATATATATATATATATATATATATATATATATAAATAAATCATCCATATATAAATAAAATGGAAGTAATAAAATCAACATTTTTTATTAAGAAAGCATAAAATGTATACCAAAGGACACAACACAAGTTCTAATAGCACAAACAAGATCGTGAATGTAATAATCATACTTTTACTGTATAGAAATAGTTGATATTATGACTAAACTAACTTTTACAGAATATCTTGAAGTATACAGCAAGCATTAAGCATACAAAAAAGTCACTCCAAGCCTAATCATAGAACAACATCAAATTAAATGATCATAACTTAAACCTTTTATTTTAAAAACTAATTCATATTTGACGATGATCACTACTATAAAACTTTATAAATCTCATTGATGATTGCCATGAAGTGCATTATCTCGATATTTACTGACTGAATATTATAGGGTAATAAAACTAGATGATGAATTCCACAACTCAGGATAAACAAATTAGTTTACATTCAAGAATTATGAGAATTATTAAACATTTGTCTGCATTGTGTATGCACCTAAAGAAAGATAAATAGAGCATGCTCAAACTATAATCACTATAATTCTCAACCAAACTAACAAACCCTAGTGATGTGTTCGGTGTATTTTTTTTTTACGACACGGCAGCTAGCTGTTGTTCCCTCTAACTTTGTATACCAGAAGTTAGCAGAGAAACATTTACTTCCTACCACAGAAAGGGGAAGCTGCTCCCATCATTTGCTTTTACAAGAGTAACAAGCGAAGAGGATACAAGTGTGTGTGTGAGTGTGAAAGCACACTTTACACAGCAGATCTGTCCAGAAATGTTTTTTAAATTAGTAAATTACCATTAATAGATTTTAATCCCACTCTCCACACCACTAGCAACATTTTTGTGTAAACTTTATATATTTACTAGACTACACTGAAACCTAAAATAAAGTCTTTTAAAATGCCGTTGTCTTGTTCTAAATATACTCTACACATTTTTATTTATTTGTATATTTTATTTAATTATTAGTTACACCAAATGGCACATTAGTAGGTGTCTTTTATGAATCATGGTTGAAGTGTGTTGTGGACTTGTGGTCAATAGTTTTTGCTAAGAAAAAAATTATGAAACTGGACAGATTCTACTATGTTAAAGGAAATGTACTGCTATATTTTAATTGAAAAGCCCTTTATACATTTGACATTATCAGATTTGTCGGTTTTAGTACAATATGTTGTGGTAATGAATACGCAATTTTTTTTCACAGAATAGTTTATCATTTGCAGAGCTCATTTTAGCTTTGTTTTCATTATGGAGGAAATGTACAACACTGCGTGTACCTTCCCATCCAAATAATAGTACTACTGATCAGCCGAAGACATAATCATGTGGGTAATATTATGTAATTAATATCAATAAGAATCATCATTTATATATTTATTTTTATAGAGATGTAAAAGAGTGTTGTTGTATCTTATTATGCGCTCAACCATTTCTTGTTAACTTTATCCAAATATTGTGATAATTGCATTTACCTTGATGAAAGAATTAGCGAATATTACACTAAGAGAATTTGACACCGTCACATACCAAGTCGTGACATTTCAGAATAAGCATCTTGGAGACAAACCATACAATAACATTGTAATAAAAGTATAATTATTACATAATACATAGTTCTATACTTCTATAACTCATAAAATAATACTACCTCAGTATTTGGTTAATATTAAAGCCACAGCACTTCTGATTCTTAACTGGCTTTAAAGATGGCACTCAGTTGTTGGATTTTCTTTTTAATTTAATATATACATTTTAATAAGTAAAGCTTCAGAATATTATATTACCTTTGTAAAAGAATCAGTACAGTACAAAAGCAGTATTAAGTAACTTCAGACTACTGTATTAACCTCACACACACACACCAATCATTTCACTTGCCTACTACCCCACAACAGCACCAGTCCCCATAATATGTGCATTTGCCTTGGTAACGTCAGATGGGGCAGCCCTTGGCAGCACATCTACAACTAAGAAGAGCTCACAATAAAGAGCTCCACCGTTTGGCATCAGAAATCTCGGCTGGCGTGCTGTTCCTCTTAGCAGATAGCTTTGTAATTGACACTCAGATCAAGATTTTCATTTCTGTGTTTCGCATCTAAATGATCATTTACAAAAGGGCTCACACAACCACCACAAACCGAGAATCCTCTGCCTCTGATCTTGCTGGGCAAACACAAGGCTTATGATGGTATCAAATTTTCTTTTATAATCGATATATTAGGGAGATATTGACTTACTCCATTTTTCTTTTTTTAAGTATTTCCCAAATGATGGTTAACAAAGCAAGGAAATTTTCACAGTATGTCTGATAATATATTTTTATTTTTTTTTAAATGTTTTTTTCTTATTTGTTTTATTTCAGCCAAAATAAAAGTTTATATATTTTTTTAAAAACATTTCAAGGTCAAAATTATTAACCCTTTTAAGCGATTTTTTTCCTTTAGTCTACAGAACAAACCATCGTTATACAATGACTTGCCTAATTACCCTAACCTGCCTAGTTAACCTAATTAAGCCTTTAAATGTATCTTTAAGCTGCATAAAAGTGTCTTGAAAAATATCTAGTCAAATGTTATTTACTGTCATCATGGCTAAGATATAATAAATCAGTTATTAGAAATGAGTTATTAAAACTATTTTGTTAAGAAATGTGCTGAAAAAAATCTCTCCGTTAAACAGAAATTGGAAAACAAAAACAAAAGGGGGGCTAATGATTAAGTAGCTTTAATAATTCTGACTTTAATTGTAGATCTTCAGAGTAAACAAACATTTCAAACAAAGTAAATTGCAAAAGGATGATAAAGTTTAAAATGTAACTCACAATTCAGCAACATAAACAGATTTATTAAGTTACCACATTAATTTTAATTTAAAATACAACTTATTTATTAGTTATGAACTCATTATAACTTGTAATCAGATTACAACTACGATTTTAACATGTTAATAGTCATTATAAAAGCTTAATAGTTTTCATAGTGAGTTTGGTTGAATTACTAATGTTAACTATTGGAGTCATGCTGCTATATAAACAGTCAAGAGAATTTACAATCAATATATTTTAGATTGTAAACAGATTAAATCAGATGTGAAAATGTAACTAGTAAGATAACCAATTCTGAACAATAAATCATTTGGGCATCGATATGGCAACGTGTGTATTTGCAACAGTCACATCGCAGAATTAGGGTATGTATTATAGATTGAAAGTTAAATATATTATTTTATATATATAAAAATTATTTATACAATGATGGCCATATTATTTTACGTTTGATTGTTCAAGATCTGTACTTAAATACTTTTAGATTAGAAAACCATGAAGCGCTGTTTGTTTCATTATTAATGTTTGTTCTATATGCTTGTAATTTATCATAATTTATGCAGATGCACTTTATAGAGGAATACTTGATCGCCCCAGTCAAAAAAACTAATAAAATCTTCCCAAATAGAGCTATTCGAATCATCTGGTGAAATTGTATTCACATCACAATATTTATCAAGGCCATATCGCTAAGTCAGATTGTTCAAATATTGTGCAGCTTTATAACCAATTCATTCTCCAAGCACGTGGTGCTGTTATGAGCACTATTAAAACACGATGTAAATATACTTTTAAAAGCACTCTTAAAGTTTAAACAATTATTCACTGTATTTTGATGTACCCACGATATCAATATTGTGAATGTTTATTTTAACAATGTTTTCAATTATTCAATATCTGCAT